GTGTGTGTGTGTGTTCGCATGTGAATATTAAATGAGCGACAAGTCTCCCCCCGAAATGAAATCCCCCCCCCCCCCCTGCGGAATAAGGATTTTCAGGACTGATTTTTTGCTTTGATTTTTGTTTATTTAAGGAGAGAATTAATAATAATAAACCATCACTTGCACAGCGCAGCGCAGTTAAATCCCCATCTTCTATAAATCGAAACCAAAAAAAAAAAATGCAAACGACAATCCCAAAATTCCAAGAGCATAGCTAAGGAAGATTTTGATTTTAAAATCCCCTCCAAAATTTACGATAAAACACCCTCTTCAATATATGGCTTTCAATTCATCAGTCACCAGATGCTATGAGCTTAGCCAAGAGGGGTTTTGTGTTTACCCCCCCACCCCCTCCAGCGGGATTTGCAGCTAAAAACCACCTCTTCAATATAAAAAAAGCAAATTACACACTCAAAATGCTATGAACGTGACGAAAGGGGTTTTGAGTTTAAACCCCACTTCAGCGGGGTTTGGTGCTAAAAATACCTCTTCAATATAAAAAAAAAGCAAATTACATACTCAAAATTCTATGAGCATAGCCCAAGGGGTTTGAGTTTAAACCTCACACCCTCCCCTTTTCAGCGGGGTTTGGAGCTTAACAATACCTTTTCAGTACAAAAAAAAAGCAAATTACGCTTATTTACTATCTTTTCATGTCAACACAATTTTCCGACTTTTCCCTTCTGATGTCACTTCCGTTCTATAGAAGCGTTCTCAGATTGCACCATTTTATTGCTTTTTACAATGTTCCAAACATCCAAAACTCTGACCATCTTTTACTTGTTGACAATGAATTTAAGAAAGTGTGAACTAATACTAGGAATTGTATGAATGAAATTTCGGATGCAGAAACTTTGTCCTTCAGTCAGGAACCCTCTTGTAGTATGGCTACTGCGTCATCCGTGTAATGTCACGTGATATAAGTGAAGAAAAAGACAAAAATATATATATGTTTACATAATGAGACTACAAACGCATTTTTTTTTTTTAAATTTAAAGTGTAGTAGCCTAGATCATGGTACATGATTTTTGCTCAGAGGTGAACAGTTGTCAAAAAGATATGCTTGTTTTAACATTTAATTTGTACATTGTTGTCATTCAAGTTGTTTATCTCACGGAAAAGTTAAATAGATAATGTCTGTTCAGAAGTGATGATGACAGCTACAAAGTTAAATAAATGATGTTAGTTAAATAATTAAATTGACGATGTCACTTGTAAGCATACCTCTGACTTATCAAACAGTAAGCATACCTCTGACTTATCAAACAGTAAGCATACCTCTGACTTATCAAACAGTAAGCATACCTCTGACTTATCAAACAGTAAGCATACCTCTGACTTATCACACTTTAAGCATACCTCTGACTTACCGGTCATGTAGTAAACTTGTCTCTGGACTGCCACATTTACTACAGAACTGTTGTAGTCTAGTAGACCACGCCCCAGGGTACAAGACCAACTCTGCATATCGTACACGAATCCACCGCACCTTGCGAGCTGGAAGCATAATGCTGCGCATGACACGGGGCTCCTCTGTAATAAGAAGATTGCTATTTTTTCTCGTAAATATTTGCTGTTGCTAGGATACTCTGTGTAGGACTGTAGGGCCAAATCTGCGGACATCACCCGCAGAGTGACCAGTAACAAGCCAACATAAGATGTCCGGTGAACAGAGCGTGTCGTGTCCATCTTCAAAGTGAAAGGGTGCAGGATGGTATGAGATTACAACAGTATCATTGAGATATTGAGCACTGTTGGCTAACAAATGTTAGACCTAGTTGAGAGTATCAAGCAGTCAATTAGGCTTACATCGTGTAGCCTTTAAGTTCAGCTCTAGAACTACTGCCTACTCAAGAAACTTATTTCAACAAATTCACAAAGTAATCTGTAGCCTAAATGTCAAAAAAAAAAAAAGTTGTGATTAAAAAATGCCCTTTGTTTCCAAAAATACAATTAAAAAATAGAGACATAATAAAGGCTTGTATTCGAGTGCGAAGATTCAGAAAAGCAGTAGAAGCCTATCTCACGTGGCTACGTAGACATGCCAATGGCCAACATATTTAATTTTTACAAAGCTATTGTGGTGTGTAAATAAGTCAACAATACTTTAGTTTTCATGCTATGGCTATCTCCAACTTCTGTCTTTGATAACTGTGACGCTGATAGTAACGGGGTTTATCAAAATTTGAATTTCTAGACGTAAATTCAGTGAAACTATTTCCAAGCCCAGGGCCGGTCTTAGGCCCAGGGCCCCGCGCCTTCACAGACCCCGCGCTAATTCTAGGTGTAATTATCAAATTGCAAAATATATACGAAAAATTCCTGGAAATCTCATGAATTTATTAAAATCTCCTAAAAACTCATAAAAATCTCCAGAAAAATAGGCAAAATTGTAATTTGTGGGTGTCATTCATTGCGGAAATCGCCAATCCTACGCTTGATAAAAGAAAAAAAGACATTGTCAGCTTTCAGGTAATAAAATGTAATAATCGGACGAATTTTCACCTTAAATGGAAGTTTCAATACTTTATTTAATTTTATAGTCACTGGCATATAATATGCCATAGGTTGCAAGGTTCGTAAAGTAAAGTTAATTTGATCGCAATTTTGTACTTAGTAAAGAATGAATAAATTTTTTTTATAAAAAAAAAATATTTTTTAATTATTCCCACCCAGACTAGGCCACGCGCAATCAGTATCGCATAAGGCTCCGCAATTGTTAGGACCGGTCCTGTCCAAGCCTAGCCAAGGATTCGTGAATTAGTGTTCAATAAACTAAAATCCACTTCAGAAAACTGAATATTTTAATATCACAAACTTGAATCGTATAATATATAGGTAGAGACAATGCTACCAGTAGTCTATAAGCAATTTAAATAATAAATACAGAGGCATAGCATTGAGAGTGTCCTTATGTTCTGTAAGAACTTTTTTTTTTTAAGGCAACGATTTGCAAGAGTATCGCATTGATTTTCTAGCATTCAGAACCATCTGGTAGATTAATAACGGAATGGCCAGATTCATCTTACTGTTTACATTTTGTTTCTAAGCACAACAAAGGTTTGACATGCTTTCTCTATTCAACAATGTACTGAATGAAACACTTTCTGATCCCATGTCTCAGAGGTCTTCCTCTACTTCTTGGTGCTAGTCCCTGAAGGGGATCACTTTACTTTCTATTGATGTTCAGAACTTTTTTTTTTTCTTTTTTTTTCTGCAGTAATTTTTTTTTCATCTACAGTTCTGGTGTTCACTAGCTACCAATTTCAGATCATGCCCATAAAGTCTTCAAGGACGGAGCTTTGCGTCTTTTTATGCAGTCTTTTCCAATCCAAGACTCGACTAATCGAGAGCCAATTAATGTTAAACAAAATATGTTGATAATTTAATACATCATTGATGTCTTTATCACTTCTTGAATTACTTACATTTGTTATTGGCCAACTGATATATAGGCATATATATATATAGGCCTATATACTATATATATATATATATATATATGTGTCTGTCTGTCCCAAACACTGCTGTGTTATCACTTCAGTCATATTGCGTTTCAATGTTTTTCGTTACCACATTTTATGTATTCGAATGAAACCGGAACATGGACGCATCAAGTCTACAACAATACCAGCACGGAGACAAACCCATTAAACAGCAATAGAACTTAGATTCTAGGCAATTTTTAACTTTTATTTTCGAAGGTGAAACATTAAGTTTGAAGCTGTAGCAGAGCCCCAACAAATCTATGATAGTAATAACATAGTCCAGTCATAGTTTTGTTAGTATCGTCTTGCTGTGGCGATTTTAGTTGTAACTAGAAGTACTTACCAGCGGTATTAAGTTACCTGTAAATAGTTATCCTCTACTGTTTATTTTTGCAAACAAAGACAGCATCTGTTCAACAAAACTATATTGCTTAAAGGTGGCATGAGTGTAAAATATCCTGGTCTAATTCTTTTCAACTTTTTTTTTTACAACTACCACTAAGTAATTTTTTTTTCAATAGTAAAAGGGGAAAAAATAATTTTCCAAGGTCTGACGGAATCAATTAGACAACCTCGCACGAGTTTGTGGAAGATTAAAACTATCACGAGAAGCGAGCATTCAGCGGGTGATGCGTTTCATAAAAAAAGTGCGACTAAAGAATCGATTACATTGTTATTCATGGTCATAAATCTTTGAACAATACCGAGTATAAAGAAACAGAAAATATTACAAGGAAAGTCGATTGTTATCAAGCTTAATCAGATAACCCAACATTTCATTTTTCATTATGTTCAATTAGGAGGTAATTTAGCCATGATGACCTTAATAGTCAAGACGACCTCACAAGAGTCAAAATGACCTTACTAGAATAAGTTTTGTCAAGATTAGCTAAGATGACAGAACAAGACTAAGTTAGTTAATATGACCTTACTAGAATAAGTTTTGTCAAGATGCCCTCACTAGACAAGACCGCACAAGACCAGACTAAGTTAGTCAATATGATCTTACTAGAATAAGTTTCACCAAGATGACCTCACAAGACTAAGTCAAGGCCTCAGTACACAAGCTTAGTTAAGATGACTTCCCAACTAGATTAAGTTACTCAACATGACTTCAATAAGCTAGTTTAAGTTAATCAAGAAAACCTCAGACTAACTTAGGGCTGAACAGTAAAGAATTGGATTATGTAAACTACAGTAAACACATCTTCAGAACCGTCAGCCTCATCTTCAGGTGTTGTGGGTTGTGACATTCCCTTGTATCAAAATGTTATGAAGTTTAGAAATGTAAAAAAAAAAAAGGACTGGTTATGAAATGCGCATATCCAAATTAAATGAATCATTGAGTTTTTTTTGTGTTTTTTTGTTGGAGGGGTGGGGGAGAGAGAAATTTACATTTGAAAGTAAAAGGTGAAGGTCATAAAACACATTTTATTACAACAAAAAACCCATGAAGAACAGAAAGCAAAACAATGAGTTTTTTGAACATTTTATTGATCGTTTCATCTGCAGTACTAACATAGTTTCAGAAACTAAGAAAAACAAAAAACAGTTTGATGTGAACACAACAGAAGGGAGGGAGGGGAGGGGGAACAGGCATCAGTGTGTACACACCAGCGAAGTACATATGTGTAGAGACACACCAGCGGGGTACACACATGTAGAGACACACCAGCTGAGTACACACTTGATGCTAAACTTGCTGTTTCATGCAGGGATGAAAGTCTACAATTACAATGTATTCAATGATCAGTTGTACAACTCAAACATCATGATCAGGTGTGACAGTAAACAGAACATGCTTCTCATAACTTATACAAAATATTATGATTTATACAGTGGATTAAACACCCCCCCCCCTCCCCGTAGGCCCCATAATCTAAATATTACCAAAAAAAAAATTCAATTCAAGTCTGTTGTGATGTCAAGGCAATGATAAAACAAGACAAAAAAAATGTATAAATAACATTCTCATATTGCTCTCATTTAAAATAAAAACAATAAATAATAATTAAAAAATTAAACATAAAAAAAATGCACGCTTATTAACTCAATTCTCAGCTTAGATCAACAGTTGCCATTGTGTGTCTCTACCAAATCAAGCATCCAATTAAAATAAAATAAAACAAACATCTGACAGGGAAAGAAGAAACTAAACTTTTTTTTTTTACATATATAAAAGAAATTAGAGAAGACACCCTCACAGTTTTTTTTTGTTTTTTTTACAATTCTTTATGGAGAGGTCAAATATCAGTTTTGAGAGTAGAAATGAAATACATTGTAAGAAGTCACATATCAGGTTCACATTTGTGAATTAAATACATGATAGAAAAAAAACAAAATTTGCTGCACACAATGGCACTTCGAACAAATGTTTCAGAGTTTAAACATTTTTTTTGGTAATTCCCTTGATGTTTGATTTGAATGTCTTACTGTACAGAACAAAAATATCAAGATAAAACAAATTTTGTCATCACAAAGTAATGCACTGCATAGCTACTTCATTTGTAAGATGAAAGGGGAGGCAATAGAGGAAGGAAGGTAAATAATATATACAATGTTAAATTTTGAATGTACACTTGAAGACAATTGAAATTAGAAAAATAAAGAATTGTTTAGGTGAGCTGCTAATAGAAAGGCAGTCTGTTTGACCATGATCTGCTGCAGTAGTTAAACATAAAGAATAGTGACATGAAATTTCACCCAGTTCACTCTAGATGTTTAATCATATTTAAAGCATGTTGTGTTTATCTAGTTAAACATTATCTTTTATTCTGCCAAGACAGTTTTGTATTTCACTGTGCAGCTCCAGTATTTCTTGGTTAGGTCCAAATACTAGGGGAGAGTAGTGTCGAAGAACACCACATCCTAAGCAATGGCCACAAAAACAAACACTTAGAATTTGTTGCCATTACCCCAAATGTGACCTGAAACTGATCCTGTATTACACATTTTTCATACATTGTCACACACAGAGACTGAAATCTCATGTCTTATATGATGCAAGTTCCTGCAAAGCTGGTATTAAAAAAATACTAGTTAAAGAAAATTTGAAAAAAAAAGATGGAATGATGAAAAAACTTCTACCAGTAGCCAACTTGACAGATAAAGGGATTTTCATACTTTCAGAAAGTAAACAAAAAATGAAATGAAATCAGTGACTGTATTGACTATTAAACTTAGTTTCTGATTCTTTTCGTCCAGAAAGTCTTTTAAAAAACAAACTGCTCTCATGTTGACAATACCATGTCAAGTTTTAAAACAAGATTGCTCCATGACCAAAAGATGTTATAAATACCTGAACTGTGCACATAAATTTTACTGAGAAGTGGAGACATATGTCTAACATTTCATGAAGACATAGAAATAGTTTTGACCATCACCATAGCAAGTGATTTCTTTTGGTTTTTAACTGGGTGGAATCCAGACAAATACATTCACAGATGAATAATGTCAGTAAAAAACCATCAAAACTAATTAAAAAAAAAACATTCCAAAAAGAAAACACTAGTGAAAGTTTGTGACCTACTTAGTCAAGGAAAGAGATCAGAGGGCTCAACAAACACTTCAATCCAAATATTCTAAAGTAACTAAGTTTTGAAAGAGTTGGAGTTTAGAGAGTAGCTCTTTCAACAAATGATTTGACTTTGACTTTCTTTAAATTTTGTGACCTGAGGGGGGCGGGGGGAAGGTAATGCCTAGATTTCTCTAGAATGACTTGATGATAGGTTGGAAACTTCCCACTTCTCATTCACCATACATTTTAATTCTTCATGTATTTTGATCTTTCTGCTGAGTCTGAGTGACAGGGTTCAAGTATTCTGTGCTATACACTTCTCAGAGAAAAACAAAGGATTTTGTGCAAATCAATATCAATAAACTGTAATAAATGGAACCCTACACTGAATTGGGTCATTGCAATGTTAGAACAAAACGTCAGGAGGCTCCCATTCTAGTTTCTCTATGCATTGATTTTTCCATTTCCCATTATGAAGAGCTTTCATTGATTGGAAACTCATAAGTAAATAAAAAGAAAAAAAAACTAAGCAAAACAAAATAAAATTACATTTAGAAATAATGTAAATAAGAGTGTCTATGTGAGACCAGAGAACAGTTTTGTGTCTCCAAACATTTCAAGGACAAGCTAGCTCAATAACATATATTGATTTGAACTGGAGGTGAAATTCTGGCAACACAAGAAAGAAATAAGTTGTTTTGTGTATGTGTGTACATTTAGAATTCAGAAGGCTGTGGATAAGATTTCTGTATTTAAATGTCTACAGGCAAAATTAATTACTATAGATACATTATCCAATAGAGTTACAACATTAGTACTTCTAAGGTAAAGTTGTAGATGGATAGTGACTAGGGCAGATAGTGGTAAAAAAAAACAACTGCAAAAAAAAAAAACGACAGTGTTCTTAATAATATCTTAATTGCATTAAAAAAAAACTGATTAAATATCAACTTCTGCTTTCTAACATTCTTTTACCAATCACAAAAGACAGAAAACAATGAATGAAATAATCTTTTGAACAAAGCTACTCAACTGAATTCTTTAAGGCTTGATGTTCACAATAAGATAAGCTCTAGGGTGATAACTTCAAAGTCTACGTAAACCACATCCACTCACAACCTACTACCTAGTAATTCATGTAATAATTCATTCATTTCATTTGACTTTCCCTGACACAGTAAAACATAAATGTTTCAATAGAAAATGATCATGAAAATGAATCTTTATTTGTACAGATAATTTATGAACAGCAAACAAAGAATGAAGAGTTACTAATATTGCTTGAGATGAAAGTCAGTCAAATTAACAAGGCCATGCACAAAAACAAAACAAAACAAAAACACGTATACCTAAGCTTTACTTCATCACAGCTAAAAATAATCTGGATTTTTGTCCAAATAAAATGTTCGTTTCAGTTGACTTTAATTGCATATATATTCAGCTCTCTCTTGAATATAGGCTCTATGTTGGATGATGACATAAAATAGTTCCATAATTATATTTGTTGTCCTGTTTATCTCAGACCACAGAGAGCCTACAAAGTAGATGAACATCTGCTAGAGATGTGTGAATCTAAGAAACAGCTCGCAGTCTATAACAAACACTCAAATCACATCCTAGACTAAACATCATAGAAGCAGGTTTATAAAATGCTTAATGTACATTAGAGATATTTTTAGTAGATATCTTCTAGGGGTGATGATTAAAACTTGCTGACTACTTCACTAAAACTGTTCTAATCCTTTTAACAAATACACACTTGCTCTTTTTACATATGGTAACAGCAACAATGATCCTTCATTTATCAGTTCACAAGTAGATATATATATATATATATATATATATATATATAAATATGTATAGAATAGATATATAGATATAAAACACTAGTATTACTAATTATACAAATCACATTTTCAGTTGGCCCATCAGTCCGGCCACATCCCCGAGCTGGTGGTAGTTGTCCCCCTCGAGGCTGGCCCTCTCATTGCTGTTGCCGCAGTCTGCTGGCCTAACCCCTTGGGTCACTTGACCTTTCACTTTCGGAAGCTTCAGTGTGCATGGTAGCATTTCTCTCATGACTGTGTGATGTGTGACAAGTGCTGTCAGTGTGGACCACTCTTTGTCTAAACCCTGTACACAATAAAAAGATACCAAATATATAGCAAAATGTGAAATATCAATACTTTCTAAACAGTTCAGTCTAGTTCCAATAGTTAAACATGGCCAATAACCAATATGACTATTGAAAGTTGCATGCTTAAAATTACTGGCTGCATTTCAGCTGTGGCCAAAAGTACACCAATTTTCAGTAGTTTAATGAAACAAAGACTCAATGTAACTTATAAAACATTATTTATGAAGCATGCTCACAAGGAAATGTTTATTTTTGTATTCCTAATTTGTCAAGTGGAAAAAAATTTTTCATAGAAATTTCATTAACACAAGTTCAAAGTTCATAAGCTGATGTTTACCAAAAGGTGGTAATGAAATGTTGATATGAATTTTATTATTTAGCACAGGACAGTTAAGATAAAACACAAACATGATGGTCATTGATTGGAGAAAGAGATGTCTAAACAACTAAAAGTAAGGAAGTCAATTTCTGGGAGGGGAAAATACAACCATGGAGCTGGTAGAGAATAAAAAAAATTATTTAAAAAAATTTTTCAGTCCTTTTTTTCATTCTGCGGGGAATGGAAAAGGATTTATAGTGGAAGGCAGGGTTGCACCACCATTGCAAGCATATTTTGAGTACATACCTGGATCTATTGTTTAAAACATTGGCTGTTTAAATACAAGTGTTAAGATAGATTCTAAACTCTATTGCTTAAAACAAAAAGATGAGGGCTGACAGAAGAGAGATGCCTTAGAATGAGCCAATAAACCATTTCACCAGAGTCTAAATTATGTACAAGGATAGACTGGAAGTACATGCATTGTATGTAGCATTGCCAAGTAACTTGTTGGCAAGAAATGTTCCTATGACTGAGTTCAATGAGAGGGAGAAGATGTCAAGCTTTAAGTCAGAGCTAGAGTACAAAGGTCCTCCAAGTCCAGGCAAAGGGAGACCAACAAAATAATAGGATTTGCAGCTTGGAGCCGGCTACAAGTTAGTTTTCCTTACATCTATTTCAAATGGCTGACATATGACATTTTAAAACTATGCTATTACAGGTATTTTCTCTAAAACAATAAAATATTTTTAGACTGCTTTATACAGCATATATTTCACTCCTTTCTATGGTCCAATCTCTTCTGTTGACCAGAAAGTGGGGGGGGGGGGGGGGGGGGGGGGGGGGGAAGGGATCTGGGAGAAGGTTTCTATGTTGCTGCTGGAGTTAGATGGTCAAACCA